TTTAATTAAATAGGTAATATTAATGTTACTTAAACCAGTTTTGAGATGTTAGTTGTCATGTGCGAATTGGCCAGCTGCTCTCACTCAGTCGCTTCCCGCGTCCGCTGAAAATTGTGCAGACCGCCATTTTGTTCAACGTAGTGGTCGCGATCTGTATCTCCTATTAGAGAAAACCTATTACGTCCGTTGGTGACGGTCTAGAACACGGGCTTCCAAATTACGGCTCTACCAATCCTGGCCATTAAATTTAAACAATAATACTGCAGCTTTTCCACGTCTTGTGATTAGTTTCTTTACCTTTCCGCAAGATGTCACTACTTATGTTTAGCGTGGTCGTAAGTAGTCGTAAGTCGTACAAATATTTCCGCATAACTATTATATTATAGCCCTTGGGGACTTAGTGGAGGAGTCGGTATAGCCCTCAGGTTAAAAAAATGAAATATGTCTGGTCTCGAACATTGTTATTCTAATTTTGTTTTGTATACGTCACTCTTTAATATTTTATGCAATACGCCCCTTTACTAAATATTTGGAAATCTAAATCTGAACTTTAAAACTTGTAACACAGAATGATATATGAATTCTCTCTGTACATTAAACGAATATATCGAGCCCTCCAACGTAAAGTAACTGAAACTGAAACGGCAAAGCTCATTACTCACATAGAGTATTATAAAATCCTAGATATCGGTTAGATGATCTATGGTGATCACTCTTTCAGTGAATTCAGAACTTTAAAACGCTCCCCTGTAAACTTGGCAATTTCGACATACGATACTTTACGTAGGAGGGGTCGATATTACACAAATACTTTATACAAGTTGGGCGGTTAGGCCTTAAAATAATAATTCAATACCGCAATCAGAATCCGCTGTGGTCTGCGGGACCAATCATTATTCCGCCATGGTCTCTGCAACGCGGTCGACCAATCACGACCGTTGGTCTCTCGCGCCCCGCAAATCACGCGAAAGTGATTAGTCCTGTTAAATATGGTGTAAAGCACGTGGAAATCACTACTTCAAAGGTTGGAAAAATAATTATTAAGTTTTCTCTATTTGTGTTCTTAAAACACACTTTTTAAATACATATTAACTTCTTTATGTAGATTATTTTAAGCGATTCTTCTTTTATATACTAAAAAGATTATATATATTTATGTGACATAATTAGAATGCGAATCTCTTGTATTATGTACCATTCAATTGTGCTTCCCGAATACATAGAATTTTAATGTCTGATTGAGAATTAGTTTATGTAAAATGTGAAGATTATATGTTCATATTAAGTTTAGTTTTGTTAAGTATACTTAGGCTGAACTCACACTGGCGCAGAGTCGAAATTTGTACCTTAATGATAGGGAAAATAGAGATGAATATACTATAGGCCAAAAACATGACGCGTCGCTACGCTTCGACTCTGCGCCAGTATGAGTTGAGCCGTACGCACAGTCAAAAGGACGCTAAAGTTTAAATTTAACCTTTAATGTCAACTCTGCACCATTTATGATTAGTTCGCTTATCGTAAGTGATATTGAGTGGAAAGTAAACCTTAGAGTGGTTATACTCGGCTTACTTGTGATTTATAGGCGACTGCATCGCTGCTATAAATCGCCGTTCTTAAGTTTAACGTCTATTGACTGTTCATAATATGATGTCTACGAGTGTAATGCAAAAAAAACCAATTTGATTTTGTATTCTTTTTTATATTTCTACAACGAACCATAATATTAGGTTTTGTTATTTATAATTTTATAAAAAGCAATACATTTAATTAATATACACTGTGTATTAAGTAGGAGTGAGACAGCAAGTCAGTGCCATCTTTTAGTGCTTTATATTAAATTTAGTTTAGATTAGTGTAGATTTAGAATAACGCGTATTGTACGGAGCCTATTCATATTTTAGATGCTAATGTTTGATTCTATAGAATTGATCTTAGTGTTGTTTTTTGCCGTTAAAAAATTACCACTTGAAAAATTAAGAAGCTCCGTAAGTTACGGTAGCTGCAGAACGTCCAGGTTGCAGCATCTGATCAAAGTTTCCATGTTATTGTAATGTCATCGGATTTCCATAGTATACCAAATCCCAAGTCGATCGGATAAGTGGAAATGAAATCCATCCCCACACCTTAGATGCCTGGCATTATAAGACCACGCGGGCATCTCGTTCGTTCCTTTCTCGTACCTGCAAGATGTGGAATGATCTTCCTCCTGAAGTACTTTTGCGCTATGACATGGGGTTCTTCAAAAAGCGTGTTTATAGGGCTCTCCAAGGCTGGCAACGCATAGGCAGTTCATCTGATGTTGCAAATGGTCATGGGCGACGATGACCACCTCCCATCAAGTGTCTCGTCTGCTTATTTTCCTTCTTCTTTACATAAAACAATAAATAAATAAAAAAATAAGGTCGCTGAGTATATTTCTCAAAATTTTGAATTTTGTCGGAATTTTCCTAAATATTCCGAAAAATTGGTGGTTGCAGCAAGTCCACATCGCAAAGTTTAGATAAATATAATCCAACCACTAAATATCTCAAATAACGTCAATTTTGAATCTACTTTTTTCGCAGGCAAGGCAGTCTCCACTTTCTGTTTCTGTTCGTCAAAGATTAAGCAAGTAACCTGCACCTGTTCCAATCACTGGTAATTAATTCTATTTACAAAACGTAAAAACAAAATTCTTTATGAATAGGTTCATAACGCCTTTAAAAATGTTTATATATACTATTTACTTAATGTAGTTTTAACTTGTATGTATGCAGTCAATTGTGGACGTACCAGGGCCTGAACTTTTATAAATAGTGAAGTAACAGTTACAGTCCACTGTTGGGCATTGGCGTCTTAAAACGATTTGCAATCGCCATGCCTGCAGGCTGGTGAGTGTACTGAAGCTTTGCTCTTTCTAGCTAGCTTCGTTTAAAAAGTACATCGATGTATTCTGTGTACAGGTCTTACAGCTATGCGTCACTGAGGGAAAGTATTTTAAATATTATAAACAAGATATTGTCATGGAGACATTATTTATAAACGCCTACAAATTACAGGCACCATGATACTTGTCAACTTATGTCTCCGATTTAAATAAGTGGCACTACAACTGCTGCAGGTGTATCGTTTACCTCCAGCCGCGCACGACTTGTTCGTCCCTTGGTGTCAGGCTAAAAAGAAATAAACACTTGGTGCGACAAAGGCATAATCGCGTATCTTACACAAAAAATACAGCCGAATGGAGATCCTTTTTTTGAAGTCTGTTAAAAAGAAACAAACTTGAAACTGCCAATGTGTCTTATGGTATTTGCAATTAATTTATCAAAAATATA